TAGTGTATCAGGAGTGGGGAAAACGCTTGGTGAGCTGTTTGACTCAGTCAATTCGCCAGTACAGCTATGAGTGAGCAACAGGTTCCAGCGTCCGTTGCACAACGGGTTATAATAAAGTTTTTAACTAAGGAAGGCGTTAAACCGTGCGAAATTTTGACTCGATTGAAGGTTCAGTATGGGGATGATACTCTGTCTAAAACTCAAGTGTTTGTCACCCTGTGACTATCATTTGTTTGCGCCGATGAAAGATGCTCTTGGAGGATTGCGATTTGACAACGATCAAGATGTTGAGGAATTCGTGCGCAATTGGTTGGTGACTCAACTTCAAAGTTTCTACGAGCAAGGAATTAACAAGCTTCCAAACCGCTGGGAAAAATGTGTAGAGCGTGAAGGAGACTATGTAGAAAAATAATCAACAGTATTTTTGTATTGTTTTATAAATAAATAAATATTAAAAAAGAATTCCGGTTAATATTTGATTCACCCTCGTATTATTCTATTCATTTTTTTTAAGCAGGGTGTTCTATTTCATTCCATAATAATATAATATAACAATATAAATTTAATAATTAATCTTACTAAATGGATTAACAACTGAGTAATTACATTGAACATACAGAGTATATATAATATTTTTCAAAGTTGATATACTAAATAACAGTTCCAATTGTGATGTTTATTTATAAAAACTAAATAATGTTATTAGTAACGTAAAAATATGAGAATTATAGAAAATTAGTATCACTCTCTCTTATCTCTTCATAATTCTTCACAAATAATGTACATCAACAATCGATAGACTGCTTATCGTCACAAGATACGGATTATTCCAATGGTAATCACTAGTAACTTGTATACCAAACGTCGATATAATTAAATGATATTTAATAATGCATGTGTGTGTTAATACAAAATTTATTCTAAGGAGAATAAGTATAAAGGTAAAAATGAGAATAAATTTAGAAGAAACTAATATAAACTATGTTTAATATAGATAGAACATGATATATGCATATGAGAAAGAAATAATGTTTTCTCTCATCCAAAAAAAACTTTCTTCTTCTTATGCCATCATGCTATCAAAAAGATTATCCAAGTGTAAATGCATGTTTTTGTTTTTTAAAATACCACGTTAAAGATTGGTTGTTTCATCTTCGGATAAACTATGTTATAATTTATCTAATGAATAAAAGAAAGAGCGAAAGCAAGAGAGAGCGAGAAGTAACAAGTAAGAGCGACGGTGCAAATAAGCTGAAAAGTGGAACAACTTAGCCAAAACAATTTTTAACATTATTAAATTAAAATAAAAATATCCACTTATATCTAACTCAACAATAACAATATTTATTATTATAAGAATCGTACAGACGCAATTTATTGTATATATTTTCAATACAATCAAAACATTAAGTAGTATAATCTTTATAATGTTTTACATATAAATATTTACAGTACTGAAAGTTTAATCTAAATTAATATGTTGATATCAATCCTTACATTTCGGACTATTTTGTCACTGTTCCTTTCAAGTTCAGTATATTTTAATATTACTACTCGCGCGTATGTATGGTTAGCAAAGTGAACAGATGGACGCGTATTTTTGCGTCAGAGTAGTTAAGGAGAATCAAGTGAGTAAGATAGAGAGAGAGTTTGAAAGTAGGCCTTAGCCGCTCAGTTAGTTGTTGACTACGTGTCTGGACGATTGGTTGGCATAATGGTGAGTTTTCGAATACTGTTAATCGAATGATGATTTTTCTATCACTAAAAGGATATGAAGTATTATTCACATGTATATATACATTTTTATCTATTATTTTATATATATTGTTGGTAATGACATTTGATTTCTTGTGTGACACCATGTGCATCATTACATTATGTGCAAAAAGTATTCAAAATAATTTGTACTGTAGAATTATTTCAAGTTAAAATTAAAGTAAATAAATTTTTCTTAAAATGTAAATTTTGGATGTTATTACGTTGTGACTTATCAGCTTATTTTAAACGTGATAACGTAATTCAACGACATTTAAATACTTTGGAATGTGACGCAAACATGAATATTATGCAACAAAAGATTTACATTTCTGTAAATAATTGTTGCATAATGCAATGAAATATCGCTATATAATACCATTCTACATCAATCAAACTTGCATTAGAATTTTGTCTTCTTATAAAAAAATAATCACTCATTCGAATAACTGTTATTGTTGTTTGGGTTAAGTTACTAAAATGGTAATATTAATAACAATTTTTTAATTACTTTGTAAAAATTAATATAGTTAAATTCTCTTTGAAAACGACTTTTACTCAAAAAGCAATACGTCATTTAATTATTTAATTGTCCAATTTTTCAAAAAAAAAATGATTAAAGCAATACGCATTAATAATATATTCGTTACATAGTATATATTAACTTTATTTCTAACAATAAGTATATTAAGTTTACAAATATTATAATCTTTTATGGCTACGATTATTCTTTAACACTACATGATATCAGATTGTGAAAGTTGACTCTTTCCGGCTATGCCATTACTACATATACACTTATTAAGTGTATATTTTTCATTTGCATTTTTATATGTACTCATCGTTGTATTTCTTAAGCACATCTGATCGAAATTTACGAAATACTTTTTTTATAAAGAGATTATATGGGCTCACCAAGGTACATAAAGAGGGCTATCCTCTAAGAATTATTGTTAGCTGCATAATATAATCTCTTCTTCAATCTTGCAACGTTTTTCAAGGATATTATAGATAAGAGCATTGACAAAAATTTTGGATATATTAAAAATAGTTCCAAATTTGTAAAAAGAATTAATGGTATGCCTATTAAACAAGATTATAAAATTGTGTCATTTGATATTACATCAATACAAACATTCAAATTGACCTAGCCTTAAAAAGTATAGAAAGAAGATAGAAATCAATGAGTATTACAATCAAGAATATTACATTACTATTAAACGAGTTTTTAGCAGCAGTCCCAATCCCAATCAACAAAATAATATTTATAATAATGTTTTTAAAAACATTTGAAAATTGTTTTTTGAAACGTTTGTAAAAACATTAAAAATAATGGGATAAGTGACCTCCTTCCCATTAAAAAAACGTTTATTTTAATGATTAAAGAAATCTTTTTCAATGTTTAAAAACATTTATTTTAACATTTAACACAAATAATTATATATTTAACGTTTAATAAACATTTATTGTAACGTTTAAAGAAATCTTTTCTAAACGTTAAAACATTTTTTTTACGTTTGACAAAAATGTTTATTTGATGTTTAAAAGGTTTATTTTAACATTTCATAAAATGTTTTTACATTAGATAAATGTGTTTGATTTAACATTTAAAAAAATATTTAAAATTTTAAATAAAAGTTTTATATTTAAAATGTAAAACATTTTTTTCAAATTTTGATTTGTAGCATTTGCTGTAAATTATCCTGTTTCAAAAATTCTATAAACTTATGTATAATATTGATAATAAATAAGAAACAATATGGGCAAAATTAGACAATAAATAAATATTAACTTTAGATAAGTGAAAAAGTATAGGTGCCTAATACTTTTGGCCAAGGCTGTATACATATACATATGTATGTATACATATACAAGATGTCCTGATAATTATTATCACCTGAAATATCTTCGAATCTATAAGATCTAGAGAAAAATTTGTGTAATCAAAATTGCACGGGCATATGAGGGGGTCTATCATATGGCGATAATAATTTTTGTCTAGATACTTCGGAGATTTCAAGCTTACAAAGATATTTTACAAAGATTATTTTACAAAGATTTTACAAAGATATTTTAGGTGATAGATATTGGGACACTATATATATATATATATATATACACATATGTCAGTAATTATATTAAAATAACCATTCAACATGTGATCAATTATATAATCAAATCCAAGGTAAATATTAAGAAAATTTCTTTATTAATGTAATTAACTTTAATGATATGTATTATTTCTATAAAGGATTTGATATCAAGAATTGACACCAAGTTAAATCCCATTTCTTTATATCATGCCAAATTAAAGAAATAAAGAATATTAATCTAATGATGTATGTATTATTTGTACAAAAAATTTAATACGTAGAAAAAGTTTCTGCAAACAATATGAAAAAAAACATGTAAAATTCGTTAAATAGCTTTATTGTTTTTCGAAGTATTCGTCTTTAAGATCGATACATTTTTGTATATGCTCGAACCAATTTTTGAAGCATTTTTTTCTACTCTAAGGCTGTAAATCAGTGTACGAAATGTTTCAACAGCTTCCGGCGACTCAAATCGCTCACCATTTTATTTTTAATGTTTGGGAACAAAAAGAAGTCATTAGGATAAATCAGGTGAATTCGGACAATGAATCATAAATTCGACGTTATTACTGGATAAAAAATCAACGATTTGACGTGCTGTGTGACAGCTGGCGTTGTCATGATGAAGGATGATGTGACGATTTCGGTTTATTCTACGCAATTCATTTATGATTTCTGGCAAACAAATTGTTGTATACCAATCAGTATTTACAGTCCTTCGATCCTCTAAAGCCACGGTTGTCACATGTCCGATATAACCGAAGAAACAAGCAATCATTTGCTTGGCAGCACTGCGTGAACGAACAACTTTTGTTGGTTTCGGTTCATTTTGAAATACCCAAACAGTGGATTATTGTTTACTTTCGGGATCATACGAATAGATCCATGTTTCGTCCCCAGTAACAATGTTGTAGACCAAATTTGACCGACCTCGGTTGAATTTCTTGAGCATTTCTTTGCTCCATTTAACACGAGCCTATTTTTGAGCTTCGGTCAAATCGTGTGGGATCCAACGACTGCAAAGTTTCTGTACGCTCAAGTGATCATGCAAAATCGTATGTATTGCTTTCATGTCAATGCCTAAGGATGTCTGAATCTTGCGGTAGGTTTATATGCCGGTTCCGCTCAATCATTTCACGCATAGCATTAACATTAGTAACAACAACAGACGTAGATGGACGACCTTCACGGAATTCATCACTAAGAAAGGTATGTCCACGCTGGAACTCGGCAAACCAATTATAAACAGTCCTATTGGATGGTGCTTCATCCCTAAAAGTCAAATGAAGTCGATCGATGCATTGTTTCGGAGTTAGATTACATTTGTAATCGTAAAAAATCATTGCTCGAAAATTTTCTCGCGAAATTTTCATTTTCTTACAAAATAACTTCTTTTAAAATACTATGCAAATAAAACTAGTTGGCTTGGGTACAAACTGTCAATTGAATTATAGGTTAAAAACATCTAATTTTATGGATATGATAATAGCAGAACGTTGGCGCAACTGGAAGTACTAGATTGCAGAAACTTTTCCAGCAGTCTACGTATCAACAACTGTGGCGCCAAGTTAAATTCTACTATCAAAATAAAAAGTAAAATTGAAGTAATACTATCTTTATTATTTAGTTAATCCAAATAGTAGCTTCTACGGGTGCTTTCTATATTAAGATTATGCATTTCTCGGGTTTTCTCCGTATCCAGATCTATTCTTGGAATACAACATTTCGTAAACTTTGCAGTCCACTCATCAAGGCGATTTTGTATCTCAGTGTTTTTGTATCTCTATGACTTCACTATACTTTCTTGGAAAGTATGATGTGATGTTGACTATCGTGGTCAAAACAGGATATTAAATACTGTTTGACAAAACGATCACGATGGTCAACATTATATTATACTTTCAAAGAAAGTATAAAGAAGAGATACCAAAAATACCCTAACAATCAAATAGAGATAATGACTACAACATAAATAAAATATGGAAGACCATTCTCCCGGTTATGAATGTCTTTTAATAAACTGTGATATAATAATTTTATTTAAGAGGAATTTAAACTATTTGGATTGAAATAGAAAGATTCTTCAAGATATACGTATACTCAGGTTTTATTGTATAAAAATTAAAGATAGTACCATTTAGATTAAGTAAATAATAAAGATAGTATCACTTAGGTTTTACTTTTTATTTTGATAATAGAATTTTACTTGGCCCCACAGTTGTCGATATCAAATTTTGTATACAAATGATACGTATCATTAGATTAATATTCATTATTTATTTAATTTAGTATCCGAATTAAATGGAACTTGGCGCCAATTCTTGACATCAAATCTTTTTTACGAATAATACATAAAATTTTCAAGAATTTTATTTGGCGTCAATTTTGTTGATATCAAATCTTTTATACGAATAATACATATCATTAGAGTTAAGTAAATAACAAAAGACAGTATTATTTGTGTTTTATTTTTTAATTTGATAGTATTTAATTGATTAAGATTGTAGCATCTCTTTTAATTTTTCATTTGATACATTAATTATTTTCGAAGAGTAATAATTGTGACAGAGAATTAAACTTGGATAGGATTAAGAAGACCTTCAATGAGAATATTCTTGAAGAAAAATTAACTACTATTAATTGGATTGGATATTTAGTATTATACAAAGGACCTGTTTCACCAATTCGATTAAGCCAAATTGGTAATTAACTGTCAACCAATTAAGTAATCAATTCTACTAAACAACAAACACAATTAGTCAGTTAAGTAATTGGCGTTGATGAAACCGATTTATGCTACATTAATATTAAATAAACTTTCATAAATGTTTAAATAAATGTTTCTTTAAGTATTTTTTGAAAATGAATA